TATATATATATATATATATGTGTGTGTGTGTGTGTGTGTGTGTGTGTGAGGCTTTCCCTGACGATCCGCTTAGGTGAAACCTGGGTAGGTTTGTCTGGCTCACTAGGTTTATCTAGGCCTGCTCTACGGTTGTATTGAGCACTTTTGTTAGTTAGTTGTTTACTCGTATCGGGGTTTTTTTCTTTGGGCTTTAAACCTGTATCTGTGCGATTTTTTTCGACAGACTTTCATGTTTCTAGCTCTTTCTTTTTTTAAAACCTTTTTTCCCCTCGAGATTGATTTGATTATTGGCAAATCAAAAATTCGAGGTTTTTTCGAAACGAGTATAGTTATCTATATTTGTATTTATATATATATGTATATATATGAAAGAAAATATATGTATGTGTTTGTGTGTGTGTTTCACTTCACAATGTGGAACGTTTAGTCCACTAGTGTTCCAGTTAAAACGTCCTACATTGTGAACACTGGAATAAAGCCTACTCACCCATCGCTTCAGAAGTCTGTGTTGCTTAGCACAGCGAATATTCTGCAAAAAGTGCTCTCTGTCTGAGGTCGTCCGTTACAAACAAAAACCACACAAAAGATAATAATAATAATAATAATAATAATAATAGAACAATCAAAGCTATCCACCCAGACATTGTTATTAGAGACTGCAAAAAAAAAGTGCCTCCTTATTGATATAGCAGTCCCTGCGGACTGCAATGTATCTTTGAAGATCTTCAAAAAGCTATCAAAATATAAGGACCTTGAAATCGAAATCTCAAAAATGTGGCTCATGGGAACATCAACGATCCCTCGGATTGGTTGGAAAAGATTCCAGTAGACTAGCTGGAGGGATTCCTGGAAGCTCATGCCTTAAAAAATTACAAAAATAGTTCTCACGAGTACAGCCCACACCTTACGAAGGGTTTTATCTATGTAAAATATATATTTTTTATTATTATTTTTTTTGTGTGTGTGTCAGTGGAAAATGTCATGATGCCATTTCTAACCTTAGGTCTCTGGTTGGAACTCGGAAAGAAATTTGTACACACCAGAAATCAAAGGAAATAATAATAAATGCCTCGGTGCTTCTGTAATCACCGGTGTCATGTTTTGGGATCTTAATGTGTTAATAATGTGTTGTCTAGGTAAATTAAAATGCGCCACCCTTGTTCGGTACCACATTGCTCTTAAATTCTCTCTGAGAGTCTGATATTTATGAACTTATCAATTTAGTACTTTTCTCTGTGTGTAAACACTCACAGATAATCTTGAGAAAAATCAGTTCAACAGGTATATTCTGCCGGAATATCCTCCTTCTCTGAATTTTTCACTAATGTAGAAGTTTACCATAAGATCAACTAAAGGCTCGGGTCTTTATGACAACTATTAACAGGAATCGGAAGCTGGAATCGTCCAGACACATCACTATATTATTAGATGAACTTCAAAAATCGATCCTTCAAGGAACTGGGATGTAGGAAGATGTTGGACAACAACAGGCACATCTGAGTGTCAGTCAGTCTCAGAGAAATTCAAAGAACAAAAAACAAGCGAATGGAATTGTCCATTGTATTTTATCTGTGATTCCTAAATGATCCTGCATTATATTATAGGTTAGATTATACTAACCGTAATATGAACCGTTTCCTTTATAAGGAAACATTCAGCATTAATTGACCAAGCAGCCAGTGGTACTGTCAGTTGAAATTTATAAAATCTTTCTCGACTCCAGTAGCTGTTATCGCTCTTTCCTTCCTAACCTTTTGTTTGAAGTAATGTGAAATGAAGAAGCATGGAACATATTATGTCATGGTTTCCTATTCAAGTCACATGTGCTATCCATACTCAAGGTTCGAAGAAATGTGATCTGATGGTAAACGTAAAACGAAGAAGCTGTATAAAAGAAAACTAACTCGAATAAGCTGTATAAAAGCAACGTAACACGGAAAAGGTGTATAAAAGAAACGTAACACAGAGAAGCTGTATAAAAGAAAGTTATAACGAAGGTGCCGTATCAAAGAAACGTAAAACCAAGAAGCTGTATAAAAGTAACTGACATTAAGAAAATATATATCATGCACTTGCCGCTAATTCAAAGTTTTTAAGCCTTTAATATCCAGCGGTATCTACTAAGGGCATCTTGTATATCTACTAAAGGCATTCGTGTATATCTTGGATACAGAATAAATACGAAAGACATTCGTGTATATCTTAGATACAGAATAAAGTTTTGTTCTTGGAGTGATTCAATTCAATTCTTAGATGGAGATGTAGGCAGTGAATCCATCAGATGGGATATGCCGTGAGGATTTTCCTATCTTGCTTCCCACGAAATCATTTTCTTTATTATGTGTTATTTGGAAATCTCCATGACTTCTTGGGAAAGGAAACACATCATTCTTAACAAGGATCATACTTCTTTGAAGTGGACGAACGCTACAGAATCACAGAGAACCATATTAAATAACAGAAACCGCATCTTTTGAGGACTTCCAACAGTAAAACAAAACTAAAATGTGACTGCACTATATATTACCAAAAATTGTTCTTGGCAAGTGCTTACATTGGCGACCGAGTGGGAATATCAGGTGCTGTTAGCTTGTGTGTGCGAGTTGTATAATGGAGAACTGCTCAGAATTGGAAATCGATTTCTTTATTTTCACTTACGAGAAAATATCGATGGAAAAAGTATGAACCCCCCTTCATCCCCCAGATATGGATTAATTAGTGAAACTAGCATCAGTAAAAATCATTAATATATTAATATAAAGAAAGAATTTGTCTATATCTCTGAGATGAGTTATTATGATTATTTGCATTATTTTTATTATTCGGACTGTTATCCTCATCTTCATTGCCATATTCACAACGTATCAGCCGTTGGACGCCTTTTTCACGGCCCAGTGAATAAAGACGTTGCTCAGATCCAGTGACTAGACCCAAAGAGTTGTGAGTTCAATACCAGGCCACAGCAGTGGTGAACCAAAATCTTGGTGAGTTGTGTTAAAGAGAAATAACTGAGCCACCCGGAAGATGCAGGGCACGTTGTAGTAGAACAATCTACGAAATAAAGGTGGACGAAATAAAGGGTTCAGTTTCAAATTCCAATCACCTGAAGAAGGCCGACGCGTATAACGGCCGAAATGTTGTGAATATGGAAATGAAGATGACAAGTCCGAATAATGTAAATAATACAAGTAAAAGAAAAATTCGTACAAATTAAAAATATTTCTGGCTTTAAATAACGTGTAAAGGATTGGTAAGCAGTTGCAAAGTAATTCATCATTCAATTACAGTAGAATCTCTAACAAGAGGACTAAGAAAGCCTTCCGGATATGAGGAATTGGTTACAGAGTCCGGATTATATTTAGATTAAAATAAAAGAACTGAAATCAGGTTTAACATTTATTTTCAATGTTTTATAGTAAAGAAAATAAGGTAATGGTAAGTGAAAAATAACAGAATTGATTATAGGAAAAAGAAATAAGTTATGTAATATTTATGAAAATTCATTAAATTAAGTATGCCACGTATGCAAAACAAATAATGTAACGAGGATTTTTTTACTCGCTGTTGCATGATGATTCTTTCTCTTCTAATGTCATTCTCAACTTTTTCCGCGTTTCGTTTTGCTTTTGTTCTTGAAATTTTTTAAACGAAATACATTTTTAACTCTGCGTGCGTTATTGTAATCGTCATAGTTGAATGCTCGTTTTCTTTCCATAAAACTGACAACCTTTTCAATACCTTTTTCAAGTTCAGCCCAGGTTTCATCACAATCATGTATCTCGTCACTATCTCGTTGCAGATGATGTTTCGTTGTCGTCCTTTCCACTTATTCCCATCATCTTTTTCACCAATACAAGCCATTAGGGTGAAATAAGCATAAGCAATTATCCAAAGTAAATTTTTTGAAACACAGAAAATCAGTTACATATCACCCAAATATTTCAAATATACACATCAAAATCATGTCCGAATATGGGATATGAGGGATTCCGGATATGGATATAAGGGATTCCGGATATGGGATATGAGGGATTCCAGATATGGGATATGAGGGATTCCGGATATGGGATATGAGGGATTCCGGATATAGGATATAATGGATTCCGGATATGGGATAAGAGGGATTCCGGATATGGGATATAAGGGATTCTACTGCATTTCGTCTTGCCATCTTTTTGCACCTTTCCTACTGTAACAAACTTTTTACTTGTTCTGTTACATTTCCATTATGCTCATTTTTCTGTTGCTGAATTACTTCCATCATATCTGTAATCTTTAATATATCTCTAATCCTAATCTTTAATATATCTCTAATCCTAATCTATTCTAGGATCTATGATAAGCTTTATTTATTAAGCCTCTCCCAGAATTACTTTTTTATTCACTTTTGGATTTTTCCAGGTTTATTCTCGAGCAACTTTTAAATTTCCATATTTTGTATTCGTAAAACAAAGCAAATTATAATGTATTAGGATATAAATTCGATTACTTTTCCGTTTTGCGGACTTAATCATCTTAATTTCAATTCAATGACCGTATCTTGTTCTCCTTCATTCGACGTTCAAATCAGAGTTAATCGAATTAGACCGATACTTTTACAACTCATAATAAATTACACGAGGATATTGTCCAGTCAGTTTTTGATTACCTACTCTAAAATACTAATCAATTCTTGTTTTTCCTCTTTCCACTGAACCTAAATCCGTATTACTCGACGCAGGGGTTGAAATTACAGTCACTAGGCCAACAAATGCGCGCCCCGACTGTTTAATCGCGTTCATAGATTAAAATATATGGGTAGAAGTAAAATCAATTTAATTATTTTTCTAAAAAGAAAGCCGGATTGAAAAGCACCTGATGAAGGCCGTAATGAACGACACCCAAAATATTGTGATAAGAACAACCAAGATGAGGACAACTGTCAACATGTAAATAATAAAAATAATAATAAATCCACATTTCAGAAAGAAACTCCAAGAGTTGTTAGTATTACTGAACTCTTATGTGAAAGAAGGGGTTAGAAGTGCTAGCATAGGCCCACGCTTGGAAGGGATGCGGCAAATAGAAGAAGGATGACGACGAGAGAGAACAAGATAGAGGAGGAAGGATGAGGATGAAGAAGACGAAGAAGAAGATAGAGGAGGAAAGAAGAAGAAGAAGAAGAAGAAGAAGGAAAAGGAGTAGGAGGGATGTGGGCGAGGGAGAAGAAGAAGAGGAGGAAGAGGGATGACGACAAGGGAGAAGAAGAAAAAAGCAGCAGTAGCAGCAGAAGAAGAAGAAGCAGAAGGATGGGGACGAGGGAGAAGAAGAAGATAAAGGAGGAATAAACAAGGAAGAAGAAGAAAATGAAAGAGGAGTAGGAGGGATGATGATGAGAAAGAAGAAGAAAAAGATGATGATGAAGGAGGAAAGATGTGGACGTGGGTGAAGAAAAAGAAGACGGGGAGCAAAAGAAGGGATGACGACAAAGAAGAAGAAGAAGAAGAAGAAGAAGAAGAAGAAGAAGAAGAAGAAGAAACTATAGAAATAATGATTAGTGCAGCTCAGTCTTTGGTGACCAGCTTATACTAAAAAAGTATTTCTTTCCATTTTGATTGCAGATATGAAGGGAGTTATCGAATTCATCCGCTGATCGCCAAACAAGAAAAGACAGAAAATTGGAACGGAGAAATTATAAACGAAAGCTTATTCTTACTTCTATTATTCTTACTTCTAGAGATATGTTTAATTTAGCTCACAAAACCTAATTATAACCACGATTATGTATATATATATATATATATATATATATATATATATATATATATACACACACAGAGCAATGTGATTAATGGCAAAATCACTTCGCTAACAAGACTTATTTATATATTCAAATGTCAATAAATATCTTTCGGTCTACACTACACATGTTTCGTCATAGTGTTTGCCTGTGTATGGAAAAATTGCGCCCCGAAGATAACAATTTGAAATTGTCGAACGATATGGCCAGTCAGTTTCATCTGACAAGAACTCAAATATAAAGATCGTAGTATTCGAGGAACTGATAGTAAGTTAATGTCTAATTAAGTCTTGTTAGCGAAGTGATTTCGTCATTAATCACATTAACATTGCTAATTAATTCTTTGTACAAATTGCTGCTTTATGATATTAAATTATATATAAGCTGCACTCTCATATATATATATATATATATATATATATATATATATATATATATATATGTGTGTGTGTGTGTGTGTGTGTGTGTGTGTATGTATGTATGTGTGTGTGCGTATAATCATTTATTCGAGGTTCTACATTCAACACCATCAGTTGATAAGCCACCAGAAGTGTTGAAACAAAATGGCTATTTTTGTAGAGATTTTATAACATTTTTTTAGTTATAATTTCGGAATAAATGATTATATTTGCTCTACTCTGTATTGAGCACTCTTTTAAGAATAGTATTTTTAGTTATTGGAATTTATACCGTACACACAATCCTATACTTGGGTATATATATATATATATATATATATATATATATATATATATATATATATATATATATATATATAAAAGGTAAACAGTTCAGTGACAACAATGTATTTGTATGTGTGCATTTTCAGTCTTTCTACAGCCATTTCTTAGTACCAAAAAGTTCAAATTAGAATTCGTCTGTCCATAATACATTCTGATGAATTATGAATATTTTGTATGAGAAACAATATATTTTGTTTTCACTATTAACCCCTCAGTAGACTTTCTGAGATTTCTAGCTAAGTTAAATGTTAATAGAGTTTCTAAATATTAACTCATCACAGACTAATGTTGGAAAGAAAACTTATGCAGTTGTGTCTGTTTAAAGGAACAAAGACTGTACCATTACGACAGTATTTTCATAGTTTTTTATTTGTATATATTTTTTTAATTTTGAAGTAATTTGCACAAAATGGCAACATCCAAGCAGCTAAGCGTTGAGGTGAGGGCACAATTTTTTTTTAAAGAAGGTTACCCTAAAAGACAATTTTTTTAGAATTTTAAGATTTCTAGACATGGGGTGCAATGTACATTACAAAGGCTCTGGATCACCAAAAGTGACAACTGTTGCTGAAGATAAATCCTAGATGATTGAGAGCAAAAGAAAACTGCTCCAGAGTTGACAGCTGAACATAATTTTGCTCGACAGCGACCAGTGTCGCTCTCAACAATGAAAAATCAGCTTATATCAACGGATGTCAGGGAGTGTATAGCCATCAAGAAAGCCGTTACGCAGGTGAATAAGCAGAATAATAACTGGACAGAAAGAGTTGCAAAATCTATTGGAGACAAACAAGTCCAAATTGATAGTAAGAGTATGTCCGAATAGAAAATGTCCGAAAATAGTATGTGAAGGGAAAACGAAGAATGATGAAAATGCGGTCCCAAGCATGTTGGTAGGTCTGTGGGGGGGGGGGAGAGAAGTCTGTAGATTTGATTCAGGTCAAGGAAATCACAAAAAAGAATAATGCTTACAAAGGTCATCTACTATTTAAAATATTTTGGAAAGATGGCTAAACCAGTAAATAAGGAAGTTGGTGGTTTTATTGGCGAAAGTAAAATATGATGCCGTTGCATACTTTTTATAGTTAAGTGACTGTTTTATTGTCAGAATAAAAGCAAGTACACAATAGCTTCTGTAATTTTATCTTTTACTTTAAAAATACGATATCTCATTTTAAGGTGTTTTAAAAGAAATGCAGGGTGTCCATAATATATATATATATATATATATATATATATATATATATATCGGGGGAGAGAGAGAGTGAGAGAGATAGAGGAGAAAGAGATAGAGTGAAAGAAAGAAGAAAGAGAAAATGTCCGAAAATCTCAATGAAACGTGAAACTGAATGTCATCATACACAGTATCAATTCCTGTACCCACACTATATCTATAAATCACTACCTCTGATAATGTGTACTCTTTTTCACTATAAATATAAGAGAATTCTAACAATATATATATATATATATATATATATATATATATATATATTGAGTGATTTGTAGGTTAATGCACCTTTAAAATTTTGTTAGCGAAGGGATTTCGCCATTTTATATAATTATATATCTAATTTTGCATGAATGATTCATTGTAATATATATATATATATATATATATATATATATATATATATGACGCAGAATGAAATAGGCATAGTTAAACATCTAGATACACCGGCCGTATTAAATGTAAATGAACCGTCGTAAATGTAACACTTCTTCACTGAAACTACCCCTACACGCACACAGACAAGCGCGGTATATATATATATATATATATATATATATATATATATATATATATATATATATATATATATATATATATATGATGGCTCATATTGGGCATGCTCATGATATATCATCCCGTAAAACTTCACCGGTGCAACGCGTGGACATGATTATTAAGCCAGGCCACTGATTTGCATTATTTTCCCTTCCTTAGTCACAACATTAGGAACCATTTTTGCCATCTGATTGGCATGATTTCTTCAAAGCTTCAAATCCCTTACTGCCAATGTATGTAATACTTTGATGGTTCATTCTTATAGTCATGCCTTTTATGGTCAGCCAGCTAAGATCCTGGGAATATAACACTGGCATCTCATATTAAAATATATATTTACCAAAATTAAACAAAATTATCTTAAAATACCAAAGAATAAATGTATTCAATAAAATTGCCATTGGCTTCAACCACGGTTCCAGACGACTTCTGATTCTCCTGTATCTCTTCTGGATGGTGAATGTTGCTAAAATCCTTGTCTTCAGTTCATCTTTGGTGTTAAGAGGCGTTTTGTTGGACTCTCGCTCAACTGCGCCCCACACATAATAATCAAGGGGGGTTGCAATGTAGCGAATTTGGGGGCCAGATGTAAGGGGTGATGTGGTCACAGAAATTGTCTGACAGCCATGAATGAAATTCTACTTGTCTGGCAAGGACAAGAGTCATGTTGCCAGACATAGGGTCTTTCAACTTTAACACAGGGCAGCGTTATCTCCTCAAGGCACTTGATGTAGGCCTCCGTGTTGAGTTTGAGGCCCTGTGGGAAGATGAATGGTGGCATAACTTCAGCATCATTAGTGATCACTCCAAACACCTTCGTAATCACAATGAGACTCATCCATCTCTTTCCAAATCCTCTGCACTGTCCTCAGATCGAAATCCAATCTATTGGAGCTTCCGGTGCGAATGCCAAGCTGTACAGCATGTCGTCTCCAATTTTCTGGCAGACTGAATTGCGTCATAGTAGTCTTTATTTCACAGGCGGTGCCCACCTGACAACAGAAACTGTGCAGTCGACAAGTTCAAATACAAACACATTAAAATATAAAAGGGCGACAATTTATCCATCGTACCCTGTCTATGAAATATATATATTTATGTGTGTGTGAATAAAGATATATATATATATATATGTGTGTGTCTCTGTGTGTGTGTTTGTGTGTGTGAATAAATATATATATATATATATATATATATATATATATATATATATATATTTAAAAAAATTTTTATATATATTCAAGAAGATTCTTAAAGGGGCCTATAGATAAAATGAAAATGTGGAATATCTATATACGATGCTAATAATACTGGATACATGGCAAAACATAGCATTAATATTAAAGTTAATTAATATTATATATATATATATATATATATATATATATATACGTTTCATTAAATATATATATATATATATAAAAAAAAAAAGCTTAAACACTAATATTTCATGGTTATAAATTATTATATTAGAATCGTAATTACGATCCAATTCATCAGACCTACATATTCAAAAAGAAATCACAAAAATAATTCTGGGAATAAAAAATTACGATTCAAATGTAATAAAATATAACTATGGAATATTAGTATTTAAGCCTTTTTTATTATATTCTTACTTTGACCTGGACATTGAGTTCTACCTGGATTCTGTCCTCTTGGAAATTTTTATATATATATGTATGTGTATGTATGTATGTATATATATTTATATATTTTATATATATATATATATATATATATATATATATATATATATATATATATATATATATATATATATGATAGATAGATAGATAGATAACTAGACTCGTTTCGAAAAACCCTCGAATTTTTGATTTGCTAATCAAATCAATCTCGAGGGAAAAAAAGGTTTTAAAAAAAGAAATAGCTACAAACATGAACTTCTGCCGACAAAAAAATCGCACAGATGCAGGTCTGAAGCCCGAATTTTTTAAAAAACCAGTGCAGTTTTGTAGAAATACATTGCTATTTCACGATAATACTTTATGGATAAAAAAAGAGAATATTAACGGTTTTGACAACCCTATGGGAGCGTTTGATGGGGCAGAGGTGTGCGAGATAGTAGTGTGCCTGCTGCTCCATAGGCTTAACGAATATATAGACTTTAATAACCATGGGTTGTACCGCGACGACGGTTTAATCATAGAGGACAATAGTAACCCTAAAAAATGTGACAACATTCG